GTACACCATTGAGTTTTAACCCTGTAAGTTACAAATGAGTTTTTGTACGAAAGAGAAATAAGAGTAATAAGGTGGTGTGATAAAAGGTAAGTTTCGTAGCCCAAGAGTTCACGAAGAGATCCAAAATTGATTTTAATGAAATACACTCTCCACCGGTATATGACATTAAGTTCCGCTACATAATATCATTGGCGGAATAATAAATTTAGATATACAGCTAATGAACGTCATGACCGCATAATTATGGATCATTAGACGCTAATGCTTATTTGAGAAAATCCCTGATGGATTTGTAATTCTTGGAATGATAAAAGAGATAAAAACCGCAACATGTATTTTGTTGAATTACAAAGATTTTACTAGAATTGAAGTAGTAAGTAATGGACTGTGTGATTTCCTCTCAAAGTAAGAATATGTAAATATAAATATGTGCCATTATGTGCTCATTAAAGAGTTGCTAATGGAATTATTTATTTATTATCTTTGTAAGTGTTGATGGTTTGAATATCATTGAAATACTACATAAAGAGCTTGATGATATTAACATTAATCCTAAAGATTGTACCATATCCTTTCTCTAAACTCATTTTTGGAAAATGTTTTTATATTAGAATATGAAGACTTTGAAGATTATTGTTATCTTCATGATTGGACTTGAATAATCTTGAAGATTGGGTCTTAAAGACCAACATTTGTACTCTTTTGGCAACACATGAATGCATACATATCATGTACTCTTTTCCTCACTAGATTTTTCCTATTGGGTTTTTTCTAGTGTAGTTTTAACAGTCATGTGTATGATATGATATAGTAATTGTCAAAAGGGGAAAGTTGCAAATAAATATTTAAATAGACAAACACCAAAGTCCTGAACATTATGCCCTGAAGGATTATGGTTTTACTCTTTTACCCTTAACTAATTTTTTTTTTCCATCAGGGTTTTTCTTAGGGCAAATTTTTTTAATGAGGAAATCGAAGCAACAGATGAATTACCCATATATCATGAACTCTTTTTTCGTCTAAGTTTTTTCCACATGATTTTTCTTGCGAGTTTTTAACAAGGTATGATTATTATGGTAAGATAATGTACATGGGGAGTGTTATAAATATTAATTATTGTGGGCATTATGAACATTGGTTGTGTAACGTTTGTAACGATAGAAAATTTATGTTTATCATTATTGCTTTCCGTTACATATAATATATATATATATATATATATATATATATATATATATATATATATATATATATATATATATATATATATATATATATATATATATAAAGGATCATATGAGAACACTTGCTTAGGTGAGAACGTGAGAACAAATCGTGTGCATTCATCTAATATATTTTAATGGTTTAGATTAGATTAAGTCTGTACGAACGCGAATTAAATGTGTGCAAGCGCGATTAAGTGTGTTTGCACACATTTAATTCGCGTTCGCACACACTTAGTCTAATCTAGACAATTAAAAAATATTAGATGGACCACGATTTGTTCTCACATTCTCACCTAAGCAAGTGTTCTCATTGGAATCCTACTATATATATATATATATATATATATATATATATATATATATATATATATATATATATATATATATATAGTTGTAATCAAGATTGAAAAAATTGGTAGACACCTAGGTGGCTGACCGCCTAGAACGGCGATTCCGCCGAATTTCTAGCCGGCCGCCGCCTAACGCCTAGTTGCGATTTTTGAAACCTCGATTGTAATATGTAGAAACGTTAAATGAATAAAATATTCATCTCTTTTTCTCTTATTCTTTGTATTGTTTTGAGCAACCATTAGTTTACAACAAATATTTAATTCATAAATAAATTTGCAGGTATGGGAGTTTACTATTTTGTTATAGTGATGTGAATATAAATCAATCAATGAAAAAATAGACTTTAAGGGAGCGTTTGGTTCACGGAATGTTAAATTGCTGGGAATGTTAGCTAGATTTCTGTGTTTGGTTTAAAACTAAGATAAGTAAATAAGACAACGGTAATAAGATAAATTGATTGAAACGTCCAAAGCCAACACTAGTAATAAAACAAGGGAATGTGAGATTACCTAAGAAATTGGAAGGTATCTCACATTCCCTTCCAATAGCTAAAAACTTAATGCGGAGGTTATATGACATTCCCTGGGAATGTTACATAACCTGAACCAAACATGGGAATCTTATATTATCAAGTAAATATAACATTGGTTATCTTATATAACCTAAACCAAAAGCCCCTAAGTTGTGTATAATCCTCCAAAATATAACTAATAAATTGTGACTTTTTCATCTCCCAAACCATGATTAAGTTTTCTAAACCCCAGAATTAGGTTGTTTAGTTAATAAGACTATCAAGCATATTACTGTGTCCCAGACACAATGCTTACTAATAACGAAGTCATGTGTGTGTGTATATGTGTGTGTGTGTGTATATATATATATATATATATATATATATATATATATATATATATATATATATATATATATATGAAAAAGTTCAAATGAGACGTCCTTAGGTGCGGCGGTACGGCGGAATTTCAGAATATACCAACAGTGTTAAAAACATGCACCAACAGTGTAAGGGAAACACACCACAATGAAATGCAAAAAAAAAAAAAAAAAAAAAAAAAAAAAAAAAAAAAACCATATAACTCACCACACCCTGCACCACCGCACTTGAACCTTCTTCTAATATATATATATATATATATATATATATATATATATATATATATATATATATATATATATATATATATATATAATATTTGGGTGATGAGAGAAACGTCCGGTCATTATTTGAGAGTGCATATGTGGCAAATTTCATTCATGTTTAACAACTCGCAAATCACGCATGAGTTAAACTACACGTCTACATTAGAAACATCATATGTGACGGGCTCAATAAAAAAATGTTAGCATGAATCAAACTAGTGACATTCTAGTACATGAAATTGTAAATTTTTTATTGATGAAGGGAACCCTTAGTCACGAGGTAAACTATGTTCTTATGTAATACCATAAAAATCACATATGAGAGGTAAATATCGCTAAGAAGTCTCTGTATGATGGACTCGATTAATAAGGTGTAAACAAGAATTGAACTTGCAACATTCTGATAGGAGAATCACATTTTACCCACTCAACTATCATTTCGGGCCACGAAGTCATATTTCTTTTTTTATGGATGGGTGTGCGAATATTTCTTTTTAGTAATTTTTTACTACTTCAAAAAGCTTAAAGATTCATGCATTAAGCTAAAGATCAAAAAAAGAACCAAAGCCCTCAAGAAAGATAGAAGTGTACTGATGACTCATTATTTACCTAGTTGTTATGAAAATATTATATATATCGACTTTTGCCTTTAGTACTACATACATTAGTCGAAGCAAACATTAATCTAGACCAAATGTTGGGTCATGTGCCACTTAATTATTACTTAATTCGATAATCGGTTAAAGACTTTATTGTCTAATAAAATACGTGATAATCTCTTAAATTATTTTGATGTATCAAAATAATAATATTTATTATTATTAAAATTAGTGTCTAACAATAATATTGATAGTGTAATTAATTTACTCTTTATTGTTTGTTGAAAAAAAATAAAAATATAAAAATGTTGCATTGTACAATATTGTTTGATCTTGATGGAGTTTGTAATAAGTTTGAAGAAAAAATTATTTTTTTAAGGTAAAAATTTGTGTGAAACTGTTTTACTGATCATTGTCAGTGAGACGGGTCATGTTGTAAATAATTAAATGTGTAACTCTTACAATTTCAGTTATAAATTAAATATTATTATATTTATCATTAGTAACAATCAATATTACCATAAATAGTACGGAGTATCACAATTTCACATATATGTATTACAATATCTATCATAAGTAACAATTTATTTTTAATTAAAATTGATACTAAATTTTCTGGAATAAGTTTTACATTTTCTTTTGAAAGTAACATTTCGCATAAAAATATTACAATATTTACATTAGGATCACATTTTGTAACTATCATAACTTGTGTTATAAGTATTACAATATTTATTATTAATAATGATCATTTTACCGCCGCTGCCAACTCCTGGGCGCAAACCTGCTGCATTACTACTTTGCAGGCGAGCTCCTCTCGACTTCAGTCGGCTGCCAGGGGAGACGTGGAAGGCGAAGCTATTGTATGCTATTTTGATGTTGGCTACTCCTTGATCACAGCCACCTACGGCGCTATCATCTTCACGATAGCAGGCATTTTCATCGCAGCAGTAAATGTTGTACTGCCGGTTAGCTCGAATCATCTCATGGCGACGCCCCTCGCATGCAAAGAAGCCCTTTCATGACTTAAGGAGCGTGGGATAGCGTCCGGTGTTCTACATACCGATTGTTCAGCACTACATCGATTTTTAACGGCCCATAAACTCAGGCTTAGGTTTTATCTTGGGATAGTCATTAATGACTAGGGCTCTTATGTCATCTTTTTTAACTTGTTCTTTCCGTTTAGTTTTTAGACATTTTAATTTGATAGCTCACTCTTTAGCTCTTAAGACCTATTTTCAAGCTAGTTCTCTATACTGGAACTCTGCTCGTCCTCATTTTGTTTCAGCTCTTTTACAGTAATCTATCTTAGTTTTATTGCTTTCAAAAAAATAATGATCGTTTCACCCTAAATAGTATCACAATTTCACATATAAATATTACAATATATATTATAAGTAACAGCTTATTTATTTTAAATTAGTATTAAAATTTCTTTAATAAATATTATAATTTCTATCATAAGTATCAAATACAGTATATATAAATATGACCCGTCTCACATAAGTGGGACTCGTTTCTGAGGTGCGAGTATAATCAGGTTATTTAGCACGCGCTTAAAGAAACGCGTAGGTACTCCAAAACAAGATTAGTAGCTAGCTTAGCAAGTTGAATAAGCATATAATTAAAAATTTTAGGGCAAGAGAAGTGACCCCTCTCTCTCTCTTTCTCTCTCACCCCTCTCTTCTGCGTCTTCTTCCCTCTCCTCCTTTCCCTGCACTCAAAGACCCAACCATTTGCAAAAACTTTTTTTTTTTTTTGTTTATAAAATCTCTATTTATATCTACATGGTTTGTAGCTCTATTTTTCTATGAATATTTATTTTCTCATCTTTTTTTTTTCCCCACTCATGCCAATAAACAAATAAATAAACCCCCCGTCAAGAAAACAGTTTTTAATTTCTGAATTTTAAACAATTTTTTTTCACTCGTTTTGTGTTGTTTCCTGCTTCTGGGCACCCATGGCTGGCTTAGATTTAAGCACTGCTTCTTATGTTCATCATCAGCTTCACCACCCGGACTTCAACTTGCCGGAAAATGATGACGACGGGAACCAGTCGAACCGGACCGGACCGGGGGACGTGGTGGGTCGGAGGCCGAGGGGTAGACCGCCCGGTTCGAAGAACAAGCCGAAACCGCCGGTGATTATTACCAGGGAGAGTGCCAACACTTTGCGGGCTCACATCTTGGAGATTGGGAGCGGTTGCGATGTTTTCGACTGCGTGGCGACGTACGCGCGGCGGCGGCAGCGTGGGATCTGCGTGCTGAGCGGCAGCGGGACGGTGACGAATATTAGTCTCCGGCAGCCGGCGGCGGGCGGCGGGGCGGCGGTGGTGAATTTGCATGGGAGGTTTGAGATACTGTCGCTGTCGGGGTCGTTCCTGCCGCCGCCGGCGCCGCCGGGGGCCACCAGCTTGACGATATACTTGGCCGGGGGACAAGGGCAGGTGGTGGGCGGCAGCGTGGTGGGCGAGCTCACCGCCGCCGGACCCGTCATCGTCATCGCCGCTTCCTTCACGAATGTCGCGTATGAGCGGCTGCCGTTGGAGGACGAGGAAGACGCGCCGCCGCCGGCTCAGCCCCAAGTTCAACCCCCGGTTTCCTCGCAAACCTCCGGCGCTAGCGGCAGCGGCGGCGGCGGCGTCGCCGTCGGCAGCAACCCTTTTCCGGCGGACCCATCTTCTGGACTCCCATTCTTTAACCTGCCACTCAATATGCCGCCATTTGGAGTCTAAATTAGCTAATTGGATCGGGAAAAAAACGGCAAATCTTGAATCGTAAAGGTTAGCAAATTACTATGTACTAATTAATCATCATATCGCTCCTCTTTTCTCTTCTTCTTCATCTTCTTAATCCTTTGTTCCATCTTTTTTTTTTTTTTTTTGGTTCTGTAACTTCTTGAAATAGTTCTCCCAGCTAGTGTTCTTTTATGAAACTTTTGATCTCTATGAAGAAATGGTTTGATGAGATTTCATAATTACATGAATGTTTGAGCTGAATTTCTTGCGTACTTTAATTCTGGGAATTTGATCCCCAGCTGGTTTTTTGCTGAAAACAATGCTTCTGTTCTCTTTCTCAACTAATTAAATCTTTTGAAAAATATCACAAAAAAGAAAAAAAAAAAAAAAAAAAAAAAACTTTATATTTAAATTTCTAATTTGTGACCACTCCATCCTATCAGTGGTCATTCAGTTTTAGATCTACTAAACCCTCCTAGTACTGATGAACTACTCTCTACCTCACCCCTCCCATTTCTTTTTTCTTTTTTTTTTTTTTGAAAAAATAAAATACATAAAATTAAAATTTTAGATTGAGGAAGAATAGAACAAATCGATACTACCTTGTAAACAATCATAAATGTTTCAGAACAAAAAATTCGGTCTGCAATTTGATAATTACGTTACTAGGTTTTCCCATTTTCTAATGTTTTGTGGAATTGGTCTGAGCTAGTTCTGTCGTGCTTTTTAATCTGGGTATTATGCCATTAGGATATATACAATCTTAGATTTTCATTTGATTAGTTTATTACTTATTTAAATTAATTAGCTAACCCTTATAAAAAAAAATTTAAAGATATATTCTTTTTATAGGAATGGTTTTGAGTGTTGTCGAGTTTAATTTCTTATTTTTAGGGCATACATATATAACTATATTAATTAGTGTATGTATGTATAATATATTCACAAGATCCATAATCAGGTGAGAACCAACATTAACCAGCGAACTGCAACTTGTGAAGAATTGCACCGCACTTACTACATGATTGCACCTCAAGGTCTTCCAGGCATGTTTGGGAGTCGTAGCAGTGCAATCATGTAGTAGTTGCGGTGCAATCCTTCATAAGTTCGCAATTCACAGGTTAAGGTTGGTCCTCACCTGATTAGAAATTGTATGCGTGAATTATAAACTAAATGGTTTCTTTGAGTGGTACTTAGATTAGTAAAAATGGTCCTTTCAAAAAAAATAAAAAGATTAGTAAAAATGGTCCTTTAAAAAAAAAAGATTAGTAAAAATGGATAAAAAAAAAATCTCACTTATTGCCTTGAAAATTAAATGCACTGGTAATTAGTTCATACTTGTGAGTAAATGGAAAATATGCTTGCATTGTTTGCCAATCATCATCATTATCATTTATCATATTTATTGTTAGAAAGTCAAAATCAATTCATATATTTAATACTTCATGTAATTTTTTAATGTAATATATAAATGTTATTTATTAGTACTAAAACCAAACACATAAAACAAGATAGGGGCTGGTGTACATTTCTTAGTTAATTAATATATGCTTCATTGATAATCTATTATTGAGTTATATGCTGCCACTAAATTAAAAATATGGAGTCAAATTTTGACAAAATTCTTATTTGATTCAATAATTTTTAATGAAACTACATTATAATATATTTCACTAGAGTGCATAATTAAGGCTACATAAAATATTAGCTTTTCATCAACTTGTTATTCTATGGAATCTTTCCTGCACCCCATGTGGATTCTAATCAAACTCAGTACATTGATCTATCAAAAACTATATATAAACTTATAATATTTTATAATTGAGCTAATAAAGGGGCTTGCTAACCCAGCTCTATGTAAGAAAGTTAAAAGTGTGGCAAAACTTATTTAGGAGCTTATAGCTTATTGTAAACTACTAATAAACTACAATATGAGTTATGTTTGGTAATGTTCCAAAAATAAGCTAGTAATTTAAAATAATAGTTTGTTTTGAAATGCTATCTATATACCTCAAATGAATATTAAGTGGTAAAATTAAATTTACAAAATAAATTAAATATTGATTATTCTATTACAATTTTCCCTTGTATTTACTTATAAGTGAAAATACGATCATGACTGAGTATTAATAAAAATAATTCTTTTAAAAATAGTACAGAATTCTGCCATACAAAATTATACAAAAAATTTCCTTTTATTTTATATTTTTGAAGTGCATACTTTAATGTAAGTTAGAACGTAACACACATTTCTTACAAAAACACTAAACTTAGGTAAAAATTCTAAAACTTTTGGATTGATTATTTATGTTAGAAGAAATAAAAGTTAGGTTATATATTTGTCCATATATGGTAATATTATTTTACTGTAAATGAAGTTATCATAATAAAGAAAACCCTATTAGGATAACTCCATGTGAACGTGTTTGATACTGATAAGAAATTATTATTAAAATCTATTATGGCTTGGCATGTTGCCTTCAACAAACAATTTAACTTTTCTTTTATAATTTCATTAAAATATTAACTGGGGATTATCTTCTGGATCAGTAGGAAATGGTAAACTAACAACAGGTAGGAATAATGCCTTAGCATATATTACTATATATATTAATATATATATATATATATATATATATATATATATATATATCCATTATTACGTATATAATATATAAATAATAAATGTTTATTCTAATTATCAATTTAAACTTTTATTTAAGGTGGAACACATTCGTACTAGAACTAGGCCTATGTAAAAAGTTATGAATTGAACAGAATATATATAAATTAAAAATGTTATTTTTGAATTGGAGTCCCTAGGTATTTTCATTTCTCAAAGTTCAACATGTATGGGTAGTATGGCATGTTCCTAGTACCTAAAATGAGGGTCTCTAATGTCAGTGTATGTGTGATTATTTCACTTGCAAGATTTAAACTTAAAAGTTTATCTTAGATAAGCTAAATTCCTACATACCAAGTTGTTAGCTCAGCTACTTTATGAATTGTCTTCGAGAGTGTTTAGTAAATAGCTGTTAGTGGGTTTGACTAGTTGATATATAGTATTAGTTGATTGTAGAAAGATGTTTGGTGAATTAGCTGTTAGTTGATAGCTGATTACATACAAAATGACTTTATCAAAAAACTGATCGAAAAACTACTTTGAGTAGCTTTTTGAATTTTAGCGTTTTGAAACAATAAGGGTGTGTTTGGTTGATGGGTTTTGCCCATAGGAATGGGTATGAAAGTGATTGTTATTGTTATTGTTTGGTTGATAGGTTTTTAGATCACTACTATGAGTTTTGAATACCTCATGAATTCAAAAATCCATAAAATAAGGGTTTCATTCGCTTATTCATTCTCAAGCACTACTATTAGTAACCATTCTCATTTCACTCTACTACCAAACATGTTAAATACTTTCACCAAAACTCATTACTATTACCAAGTATTTGATACTCATTCCGATTCTGATTCCCATGTGCGAACCAAAACACACCCTAAGCTGTTACAAAAAACTAATTAATCAAACAATTATATCGGTTGTTTAATCAAATCAAACAACTAATAATAGTCAAATAAATCAAAATTGACTGATAAACTAATTATGTTGCCAAACATAGCCTTCTTCTTTTCGAAAAAATCGCAGTACAAGATTAGGTTATACCCTCTAAATGGATAAGGATTACGAAATGGTTGAGATGGGCAGTTACATGTTTATGTTGGTTAAGTGTTTGGACATTTAAATTAGTATCTTGTATATATTTTAGAACCATGCAGTTATGGATGAAAGAGAATTGATGTCTGTCCAAATTATTATGAATGGGAATTGATAGTTGTAGGGGAGGAGTGCTAGAGTTTATGAGCTAATGACCTTTTTTGTGTGTAAATCACGAGATGTTTTGAGTCTTTCTCCGTTTGATTTATAATTTGAGTCCACCCAATTAATCTTTGCTCGTTCTGAGAGGAGTTAATTATCAAAATGGTCTCTTGATTATAGCGAAATTACCAATTGATACTAACTTTAAGTTTAACACAAGTTTTCTTGTATAGTTGTATCAAAGTACAAGTGTTGAGAGATATCTCAGGAAGATGAAGTAGATCGAATGACCTACCTCTTCTGCTTCGTTGTTTATATTATAATTCTCATCATCTCCCATTGGATTAAATACATCACTTTTCACTTAACCTTCAATTACTCGTTTCATATGGACTTAAGCCCAAAACATTGACACCAAAATCCCATTTTGCATTTTGCTTAAAAGATGAGCTATGAGATACCGTTTAGGGATTGTGACTGTTGAGCGAGCTTAGAGTTTCTTCCATTACTATAATCTTTTCATTTCTTTATTATCCAAATAATGGAATTTGCAATTTTTCGATTTAAACTTGTGATGACTTCATGTTCGAAAAAGGGATTAGAATACAACTTCACCACATCGATGTCAAGAAAAAAAAAAATTTAAAAAAAAAAAAAAAATTGCGTCGATATCAATAATACCTTGTAAAATAAGGCAAATTATATCGACATCAGGGTGCATAATGCATTGCACACCATAAGAATTTATGTGTATTATGTTAAGAATTTATGTGTATTTGGTCTCACGACTATAGGGGCTTTGTTAATTTCAGCACTTAACTTTTAAAAGTGTCAATTTAGTACCTTGAGTATGTAACTTTTGTCAATTTTGGTCACTCCGACCAAATTTGGCCAGAAAAATTAATCCAATATTTAGTCTAAAATCTGAAGGGCAAAATGGTCTTTTCTATCCTTTCTCCTAATTGGTGTTGACCAAATTAAATTGTTGACCCAGTTCAGAGTAAAGTAACAATGGAAAAAAGAAATCGATAAACAATTTGTTGAAGTATCTTTTGCACATTTTGAGTTTCAAACTTAGGATTTACAGCAAAATTTTGAGTTTCAAACTTGTCGTCAAAACAAAATTATAGATGAAGTTATAGTGAAATTCGTACTGTTAGGATTCCGATTCAAGGTAACCTGCTCATAAAATCAA